CAATGGTTTGGCTTCATTCTATAAAGAACGACGTATGCACTGTAAGCGAGCACACATATAGGTTTATCCTTACATGCTCGGCCACTTCCATTCTTATTTAACTCATGGTCACTTGTGAGTGGTGGAGTGGGATAATTGATATTGATTTAAACTGACCATTCTTCCGACCTCACCTTAACGCACAATCTCCAATTCTTTCCAGTCAACCGTACACTCGGGTTGGACTTAACAGATAGTCTCCTTTCTTTGCTGTCGGGCCTAATGAACTGGCTGACGATCACTGAAGANCTCAGTGGTAACACGCTTTCCTTGCGATGAATCCGGAGTTCAAATCCCGGATGGGGCGGTTGATATGCATTGCTGATGAACTTTAATAAGAGTGGAAGTCCAATGCTTCTGCGTGTATGGTTGATTAGAAGAACTGAGGATTGTACTTGAGGATGAAGCCTGAAGGATGGTCAGTCCAAATCAGCACTTCAATTCGGACTGAATTTATTGGTTTGTGGAGGACGTTCCTGGGATCCTCAAAATGTCGAAGGTAGATATCATACGTGACAATTTAGTTTCGGGCTATCATGCTCAGTTCGGCAACGTATCAATCCGATGCACAATATGTATGTATGGTGTCCCGTTTGAGTAGGTAACTGTGCAGTGAACTAGACAGTACGATTGTTTGCAGAAGGTACATATGTAGCCGGTCTGTAGACCGGTGAGCAAGCAGGGGTACAGACACGAAGGTAACGGTTCATTTATCGATTTGCACATACGCATTGTATTTTTGGTAGAAGAATACACTTAAGCTTACTGAAAAACAGACGATCACTCCTGAGTTTCACAAAAATCCACTTTCATCCAGCCATCTCATTCCTCCAACGATTCAAAATTCATATGAAACACAACGAACATTTCCATCACCTTGTCAAATCTGACAGCTGAATCACCTGGGATCGTTTTTTGCTACAGATTTCAAGTGGTTCTAATTACTGTTACTTTTCAATAGGTAAATTCCTCTCACGCTGGTGGCTGGTCTTGATCTCACCCCAAGGGGTCTGACTGAATTTGGCATCATAAGACCAAAGGTTAACCCTTATGGTCTAATTATTCACATGTGGGTCATGTGATTGCAATCACGTCCCAGACAAGCCGAAAAACTGCGGTCATCTAAGTTTTGAGACTATTTAAGATAAACAACAAACACTTCAGTTTCGGGACAAATGTGAATTCGGTAATGTCGCTTCTGGTGTAGCTGCAAACCTGAATGCGACTATCTATACGGATAAGAACTATTTCGGTGTTCCTCTGCACCACACAAAAAAACAGTCTATTCACTTCTTTTTCATTAGAACTAAATCGACCGTATGTAGGTACAACCGGTGCTCCTTTCCCCACTAAGCTTCACTTCTAATCTCCCCCAATCGGTCACATTAAGCTGTAGGGCATTACTGGTTTGAAACAGACAAAGTGCACATAATCCATCCTGTATGTGTATGGGTGTGTGCATTGCGGTTGAGATTTATAGCCATCCATTTTAAAGGTCGCACAATGACCCTGACAAATCGGAGGCAACCGGGCAGTAATAACTGGTGCCTGCCAGTGTGTTCGCGCGTGTGTGTATGTATGTATGCACCTGATATTCCATGGGAACAACAAACGCCTAACGGGGGAAACTGAATGTATCAAAGTGTTTAATTTATTTCACCGTCTCTATCGCAGTCACGCGTGATTCGTGAAAATCGCGTACCGTAACATTTGTTCGTCGGGATCATAGATAAAGTAGTACATAGGACTGAACAGGGTTCTGGGTGAAAAAATAGTCCAGTGCTTTTACAGTCCATACACAAATACATAATTTGTAAAATAAAGTTACCTTTAAACTGAGTTTCTCTTCTGTGAGCAAGGATAGTCACCAATAGGGATTGATAAATTTTTGCCACTGATTTATTTCAACGTAAAACACAAACCAGCTGTTGGACCACAGGTCTATTTGTTTCACATGCAAAGCCCAGACGAGAGGGTTGATATGCACTAATAACGAGCTCTAAGAAGAGTAAAAGTCGAGTCTGGTGCCTACGGTTGTACAGTTGACTCGAAGAACTGATGATTATCCGCGGAGATGAAGTCCGAAGGATAGCCGATTCAAATCAATATGTCATACAGTACACGCATCCGAGTGCAGACTGCGTGCAATCCGAATCACCACGTTTTATTGCGCTGATCAGAATATTTTCTGTCCGGTATTTACAGGTCGAACGGAGCCGCCTAGCTCGAGCCCGTGCAGAGAAGGCTGAGGCGATTGACGCCAAACAGGCTCTGGAAACGCGATGTGCCCAACTGGAACAGGCATTACGACACCAGCAAGAGCTGCAACGCGCTTATCTGTCTGGTGGTTTGGCCGGTGCGCGTGAGACTCGCACTTCTCGAATTCGTAGTCAACCGGACGCGGAGCACGATGAAGGCGAGAATGCTCCGTTGGAATTGCGTACTCCTCAACCACCGCGCATTACTCGTCGTTCACTTCGTCTCCCAACCACACCGGGTGGCCCGCGCATTCAGTCCAAGCCGTCTGAGGCAGATGCCTTTTTGTCTAATCAAAACAAAGCAGTTCGTGGTGAACAGAATGACGCTGGTGTCGAGGATGGACCGAAATCGGACGATGAACATAACCCCGGACTGGAAAATGCGCCTGGGTCGTCTGACATACAATTTGGTGATTGCATTTTCTATCCACCAGACAATGATGATGTGGATGAACTGGACTATTCGGAATACATACGGTGGAGTGGTGGAGATGGAGGAGTGAATCCACGGGATCAATTTCCTTTCGTTCATCCTGCTTCCACACCATATAGGGTCAGACATTTCGGGGCGCAACAGATGCGCCCAATGTTTCATTCTCCAGCAACCCCAGCTTATCATTCCTCATATATTTCCGGTGGCGGTGCTGGGGGTGGATCAGCTTCAACACCGGCCACCCCGTTTGTTCGAAGAGCTATGGTTTCCATCGATGACTCAGCAGTCCTCAATCAAAATAGTCGCATCACTCCTCAGACATCTCGACGGCGGCTAACAATCACCAATCCATATACAGCAGAGTTAACTGAGATCGCTGCCGTACCTAAAGTTCCCTACTCAGCTCATTTTGCTGGATATGTAAGTGATCTTTTTCTTTTGATTTCCCTGTCACTTTTGTCTCATGCATGTTCTGTTTTTGATAGTAATGTCTACCGCCGAATATATCAAGCAAATATTTGATGTAATCACTTTATCGTTGCTGTAATCGTTCGAATAAGGGATTACTCCAATCAAATGATTATTGTTGATTAACGATTAGGTGTTTATATGGCTGAGACAAACGGGGAAAGCTCACCACCTAGACCTTCAGAACTGTTACCTGGCTGGATTGTTCCTTCTTTGAATGTAAAATGAGAAATACTTCACCGATTTGCTCACTTTGGTTTCTTTTGTAGGTGGCATCTCACCCATCATACTATCATTCTGCTATGTGGAATCCATATTGTCCAGATCAGTCACATCTCGCTCATCCGATTGCAGCTTACCGCAATGAATCGGGATACGGTTGGGATCCGGGCCCCGAAAAACGTCCACATCCCCACTTTACTAGTCGCTACCCTCAATTCCCGTCACATGTTTGTCCGACTACCGTGGGTAGTATGCCTGCAATGCTCAACGAAACCCATCTGGCCTCAGATTCAAACGCTTATCTGTCAGACGAAATGTGGAGCGCCTATCCCGTACGCTCTGGTAATCTGTTCCCGTCAGCAAGAACACCTAATCATCCCTGTCATCTTCCTTGCGCTTCCTGTTACGCCTGTGGCCCGGACTCTGCTGTCGTTCCAACAGGCATCCCAACAGAATACTGNATTTTGAGGGACCCGAGAGATGGTGCAGTCAATCAGGTGCGCTGATTACCCCGCCTGGATTTGCCACTGTCGCTGCCCGGAATGCTCCTTTGAGCACCTCATTGTCTGCTATCTTATCTCCAGTTGCCGGTGCACGATGG